ACGGGTGGACTTCAACTCCCAGAATTCCCCAGCTGGGGAATTCTGGGAGTTGAAGTCCACCTATCTTAAAATTGCCAAGGTTGAGGAACTCTGCTCTACAGAATGAACAGGATGTAGACAGAGGCTGTGGAAGATGCTCTGGAGCAGAGTGAGGAGGAAGAGCCTGCAGGTTATGCTAATGAAAATTATGAACAAGAATGTGTGCTGGAATTAAGCGAAAGAGGCTCGGGAGAGGAAAACGAATAAAGACAATGACTGCTGCAAAAAAATGAGGAGGAGAGAAAGGTCTTGCATAATGTGCATACAGCAGTCAATCAATCAAATCTTTATTATGGCCATAGACCTGCATGACACCCTGCAGTAGTTCTCGACCTTTGCAATACCTAAGAATGGGAAATGACAAATGAATTGGGGTGATAGCTCCCCTTGAATAAAACTAATGATTTCATTGGTGTTAGGGACGGGGCAAAAATAAAGGTACCACGTTGAATATTTACATTTTAATTAATATGTCATAGGGGTTCTGAAGCTTTGCGGACAGCAGTTGCCCACTGTCGGTTTAAGGAGGCCATCTCAGCATCAAAGGCCAGAGTTACAACAACACCCCCATTTTGCCCGAACAAGCCTGATTTGGTTTTAAAAAAGAATTTCTGGCAACACCCCCCCCCCCCGCAAGTTGTTCACGTCTCCTCGGGAGATCCAATCCACAGTCTGAAAAGCCCTGCTGAGGAGAGAAAAAGATTTTTGCAAAGAACATTGTCAAAGAGAGCAAGGAATGGTTAAGACTGAACAAGGTCAAGAAAATACAGAGTGATTCTGATGGAAATTTAAAAAAAAAAAAAAAATGGGGAAGTTGATGAAGAGAGCTCAACAAGAAGCCTGCAACAGAAAAAGTAGAATTAAAAATAAAGGGGATGAAATGAAGTGAGGGAATGCTGGAAGGATTATGTTAGAGATTTGGAAGGAAACGATAGGGACAGGTCCAAGAGAGGAATTGAAACAAAGGCTGTAAATATGAGTGTCCAAAAAAGGGGGAGGGGAGTCATAAATGCTGTGAGGATGTTTAAAAAAAAGAGTAAGTCTGCAGACGAAGATGGTATACCTGGAGAAATGTTAAAAAGTTTGTTTATGCAGTGGCTGCCCAACTTCTACAACATATGTATGGAAACTGCATTTGCTTGACAATGGTCATTACTGTTCCCTTAATGAAAGGGAAAGATATCAAGAATGAATGCAAAACTACAGGGATTAGTTTGGGAAGGGGATTAGTTTGTTAAGTGTCCCTGGGAAGGTGTTTGGCATGGTTCTGATGGAAAAAGGTTCAAGAGTTGACAGTGAAAAACAACTGGGAAATACAGGGTGGCTTTTATGCTGGGCAGATGTACAGAGTTTTTGCTTTGGTTTGATTTTTTGGGTTTTTTTGAGAAATATATGAATGTGAGAAAGAAACTTCATTGTGAGTTGGTTGAACTAAAGGAACTATATGATGAAGTGAATAGACATGAAGGATGGAAAGTTAAAAGTCGAAGCTGAAGGTTGGTTGCTGTATTTGTTATAAGCACTGTGTGATAGAAGTAAGGTGTGAGAATAGATGGAATGCTTAGTGAATGGATCTTCACTGAGGAGGGAATAAAGCAAGAGGTATGTGACGTTCACTTAGTTGTTTAATGTATTTATGAATAAACATGTAAGGAATGCTTGAGGAGATGTTAAAGGTATTAGGCATTAGATGTTAAGAGGATGTTAGAGGTTGGGGACGTAGTTGTGTATGCAGGCAGTACAGGGTTGTTGGCTGAGAACCAGATGATTTGCAGAAAGTGTTAGAAAGATTGTATGATGCAACAAGTAATATGTACTGAAAATTAAAGTATCAAAAAACAAAGGTAATTGAGTTTGTCAGGGAAATTTGAGTGAATACAGGTAGTCCCCAGTTTAAGAATGAGTTCCATTCCCAAGGTCTATCCTTCAGTCGAATTTGCATGTAAGCTGGAATAGTATTATTGTATAATACTGTATAAGTAGTATTGTGTAATTAACTCAAACCATTGAGTTTAAGAATGAGTTCCATTCCCAAGGTCTATCCTTCAGTCGAATTTGCATGTAAGCTGGAATAGTATTATTGTATAATACTGTATAAGTAGTATTGTGTAATTAACTCAAACCATTGTGCATTTAATTCAATTCACTATTTAACTTGAATTTTGCTACAACAGGCTCCATTCTTAACTATGGGTAATTCATAAACCCAACGTTCTTGACCCAGGGACTACCTGTAGTAGCAAGTTATATATGTGTGGCAAAAACTAGAGTAAATAAACTTTGGTAGAATGTTTAATAAAGATAGGAAAATGGATGAAGGCAGGGTTCCTCAACCTTGGCAACTTTAAGACAGGTGGACTTCAACTCCCAGAATTCCCCACCCATCTTAAAGTTGCCAAGGTTGAGGAATCCTGGATGAAGGCATTTTAAGATGTGCAAATCATGCAGAAAGACAGTAGGTAGTCAAAAAAGAACATGAATATGAAAGAAAGTGAAAATGGCTGGTTATGTCCCTTTTGTTATATGGAAGCGAGAGCTGGGTGTATTGGGAGAAACATAAAAGCTGGAGTGGAAGGGGTTGTTTAAGAACTGTGTGGGACAAAAATGAGATAGGAGGAAGAACAAATGGATTCTGAATGAACATGGGCTGAATACAAAAGTAAGGGACCAATACAAGAAGTTCATTAAGGTGGTTTGGTCATGGAGAGGGCATGAATGAGCATCAAATCACACAACAAAAACGTGAGGACCGAGTAAATGTATGGAGAGGAAAACTGAAAGTCATGCTTTGACAGAGCGGAGAAGTTTAAAGAAGGAAAGGCAATGCATCAGCTGGGGTGTGCATGTGATGGAAGGGTGGCTGGCAAGGGTAGAAAAGTGTGGAGAGGTGTAACGGGGTGACTGGAAACTAGTTTTAGCTCCATTTCCTTATCTCTTGCCTCTAATTTTCTGGCTTACTATTTCTTATGCCTTTCCTACACTTTGCATAACCTCGCTTATCCTAAAAGTGGAAAGTGTGGTTTGCTGTTGCTTTCTTCCCATTTTTTAACCCCCTAATCTAGCCTATAAATCAGGGGGTTATAACCCTGCTACAGATGTGAGATTCCCAGATAATTTCCCATCCAAGTCTTAACCAGATCTGACCCTACTTAGTTTTTTTCCAAAGTTGGTTAGATGCTACAGGGAGAGGGGGAATGGGGACAGGGAGGGTGTTCAAAGCCGGAGAGAAGTCATCGGTCTCACAATCATGAACCATCAACTGCTGGATCCCTCACAAAGTGGATTCATTGATTTGACTTATGACAAAGCAAATTAGACCTATCCACCCATATACCTGTACAACAGTTAGAGCGAGAACGCGTGTTCACTTCCGCGCCCTACGCAGGAGGCGTGACCTCCCCCCCCCCGGAAAAGTCACAAAGAGGCGGAGGAAAGGGCAAAACCCATCTCAAAAGGAGCAGCGCTGGAGAAAGTCTGCCCATGCTTCTTTTTGGAGAGAGAGTATGCCCAGGCTCCCTCAGTTTATCTAACATCTCAGTCATATGCCCGCTTTTGCGCGCAGGAAAGCTGAGAGCGCTGCACTCAGAGGTTGGACGCCTGCTCCCCCCTCCCCACATGACCTCCAGCATTACACCGAAGCGAGGAAAGGGAAGCAGAGCGCGTATTCCGAGCTTCTAAATCTGGATCTCCAATTGGCCCATCCATACATAAGTCCTGTCAATTCAAACTTTTAAAGGATGCTCTGGGGTTTGCTTAAGTGGGTCCAGCACAGGTCTTCTGCCTGAAAGGAGACAGGGTACCCGGTTTCACACACACACACACACACACACACCACAGAACCTGCCCCAAGTTTGCATTTTCGGGCAGCCTCAATTCAAACAAACCCAGCCAAGCAGTACTGTAAGTGGTTTGGTTTAAGGTGTGGTGAGAACATGGGGCATTATGGTTCATAAATTATCTTTCATAATCATGAGTAGAGAGAACTCAGCCAGCGGTGCTTTATTCATAAGACATGGTTAGGCCATGGGTCAGTGTGATCCTGACCCACTCCAGCCGCTTGGAACAGGCAGAAAAGGCACTTCGCTCAGTCCCCTACTTTCCTTGGTTGCTACTTTAAATCAATTCACAACATCCCTAATAATAATGTATTACATTTATATGCTGCCCGACTCCCAACAAACCCTAGAGACTTACTTGAAAGGAGTCTGCGTGGATCCCAATTATGAACTGGAAAATAAATGGAGTTGCTTTCCTGGCATCACAAAGCTGTCACTGGTAGTGATGGAGAGAATCAGAGGGGCCCACTCGCATCTAAACAGGAGAGGATGCCACATTTTTAAGACCCCCCTCTCGCCCACGTCCCAATATTTAACAGGAGCGACAGATATCAGGGCCGGTGGCAGGGAAGACAAGATATAGCGGGCTGTAAAATCAAGACCATGAAAGACGCAGAGAAAGGGGATTTCTCAAAACCGGCACACGCTGAATTATACTGTACGATTGATCTCCATGAAGCTAATCGGAAGCTGCAGTTGCACGACTCCGCCTTCCGGACTCGGGGGCTGATTTGCGAGGCCAACTCCAGGCATTCTTCACCCCCTGGCAAGTTTCGGCCGTGAAACTTTTTTTTTAAGCAAAGATTCAACCTCCGATTGAGCGTTCCGGAGCGTCTGTGCCCGCAGGTGCGGGCCCAACCCCCCCCCCCCGTTGCATTTGGAAATGAGGGCAGAGATTTTTAAAAATGGTCAGGATCCAAAGACTCAGCCTTTTCCCGTACTGAAGCGTTACACAAGAGGGGCAGGGGATTCCGGGGGAAATGCATCGGTGCACTGCCTCCATACGCGAGCGATAGTTAACAAAACATTGCATTCCTCCTTTTTACACCAACACTCTTTCTGCTGGCTCTTTCGGGTAAATGTGGCCAGCATCGGACTTCAGGATTCAACGGTCCCTGCTAACTTACTTGAGAGTAAACCCTCCTGGATTAAGTGGGAGGTGAAAGAAGTAAAGCTCCATCCAGCCTAAAACCCACGGTGTTCTACTCTTAAGGAAAGGAGGGGGGCGTGTCCGGGGACAAACTTTACTTAGCAAGAATTACTCCCAAGTAGAGGACTTAACTAGATATCCAGGAATGCAAGAGACGGTACCCGAGATACATAGCATGTCTAGGTGAAGATTTATCCGTATCCAACGGCAATTTTATCTCTGTGGCAAACTTAATACTGCTTATTACGTTCGATTAAAGTTAAGAGTACAGTAATGACACAAATATTCCCATTAAGAGATAACAAAAAACGGATTAAAAGAAGGAAGAGTATCTAATCAGTGGGGAGAAGATGACGCTACTTTAAGGGACTCGCTGAGCCCCCCCCCCCCCGGCGAAGAGTTCGCGGTCGAATTTTCGCGTCAAAAACTTTCCAGCAAATCCAGGGACCCTGATAGAGGAGCTGTGGATTGTATCGTATGCAAATACGCAAGCTGACGTAAGAGATCATGTGGGTTTTGGTGTAGATCACCACCACCGATCGGAGAGATTTTTTTTTTAATTTTTTTTTTTTAAATCCTACTGTATGTCTTTTTCTTAGAGGGGGGTGATTTGTTTGAGTAAAAGTCCCGGACCGTCTCCTCGGCGTTCTAGAACGCGCACCGAGAGTTCCATTCGGGGGAAAGTTCTGCGTCTCAGCGTTCCAAAGCTTTGATCGCAGGTAAGGGAAACTTCGCCCTCCCTCCCTCCTCTCGCCCGCCCTTCTTTAAAAACACACACAATAAATAAATAAATAAAATAATAAGCGCAGCAGCACCAGCACCCTTAATCGGAAGCGCGGATGCCTTGCAAAGCCAGACTGGATAGTCTTTTGCCACACGGACTTCGGTGCTCCGGCTCCTCGTCCTGAGCTAGTCCACCGAGCAACCCACTTCAACCTAACTTTTCCCCCCTCCCCGTCAAGAAAAACCTCCCGTTTTTGTTAAGACTTCAGTTGGAAAGAGGAGGGGCGTATAAGGAAACCAAGACCGAAAGCAAGAGAATAGAATTCGAATTGGGGCAAAAGAAAATGCGTGCATGGGGGGGCGAATGCTTTCTCTTTCTCGTCTTCTACAAACCGTATCGATCGCAAGTTTTTGAGGGGGAAGGGGCTGCAAGAGAGAGAGAACGCCAAGGTCTCTTTTTTTAAAAAAAAAAATGTCTACGTTTCTCTATGTCGACATCAGCAACACAAAATATGGCGTCCGCTTTGGAGAGGGCGTTACGTAGAGCCGAGAAAGACGATCTTGAAAACCCAGGCTTGGGGAGAAAAAGGCACCTCTCCTTCCGCCCCCCACCCCCAACAAAACTGCGACCGGGCCGTGGATTAAAAGCAGCGCCGTTTGCGCTCTCAAGGGGAATATGGAAACCCAGCAGAAAGGAGAGGGTCCGGAGGGGGCACTTTCTAGGCGATAAGGGGGCGCAGATTTGCACTTGGGTTTCATCCCCCACCCCGGGCGATTTATCTCTAAGGTAGCGCGCCGGCATCGTGACGTGCTGGCTTGCAAGCGCTTCTCTCCCCCCCACCGCCCCCGGCTGCAGGGCGCGCTAGAAATGGCCAGGAGACGTTGCATTTTACCGTTTAGCCCTGCTCGGTAGAGCTGTTCTTAGGTCAGCGATATTTAAAACAAACCAAGCGACAAAACTTCGCCCATTCCCCGCTTTTCCACACACACACCCCCTTTTATCTCGCAGCTCACCCTCCCTTCTCCCCTCCCCGCTAATGCGTCTCCGTTCAAATTCTGTTGCCAAATACCTGGTGCGTTCCAAACGCCCTGCTCAAAGCAAAAACAAAGTTATTCCTAACGGTGGTTGGTTTCCTTTCTGTTTTGTTCCTGTTCCAAAGGTCTCCATAACCAGGAAAAAAAAATGTTATTGAACGTGTTCGGGTCATGCCATCCCCTTTGGAAAGACTTCCAGGTTAAGACGTTTCTGTTTTAATTTCCCCCCTTAATACGTTTTCTGTCCCCGCGGATCCTCTATTTATTTGTTCCTTCTTGTCCTACCCTATGGAGAGAGAGTAAATAGCAAAGAGTTCCCCCCATGTCGGAGCGGAGTGGGGAGAGACCTATTTTCAAGGAAGTGAAATTGCTATTTGCTGAGATCTTCCACCTGATCGTTTTGACTTCAAAGCCATGTGAGGTTTTGTGCCCTCCACCACTTCCTGATCTCCTTTTGTTTGCTTGGTGTGGGAAAGCCGTGCAACTGGGTGGGTGGTTATCTTTTTTTAAAGGCACCAAGCCCTTTTTTTTCCGTAGGATTCCCAAGGGCTTGGGTGACCTGCTCTTTGTATGTGGCTAGTATGGAATCCATGTGCAAGGCTGGAGTTGAGCAGTTTCTGAAGCTGAGTGTGCAAGTCAGTTACAGCATAATATTGTGGTATCTTAAATGGCTAACATATTTTTGGGTCATATTCTTCTCCCACACAAAACACACCTTCCAGATGTGCTAGGATTACCTGCAGAGCTCTAGCTTGAGGCAAGACAGTTTAGTGTCCAGCTCATTAGGATACTAAAGCAAGTTTGTACACATCCATGCACATTCACGCATAGAGGGAAACGGTGGCATCAAGTTATAATACAATTTCGGTTCAGCTGAAGCTTGCATGTCTGCAAACTGTTCGTGACAGCAATGATGATAATAGAATAGAAAGTCATGGACTTTCCAGCTCCTAGGTTCTGATGGGTTTATGCAACATGTTGCATGTTATATACTGTAAATCCAGCTAATGAGGTTTGGAAGCCATGGTTTATCATTTAGCATGTGCAAGCAACCAATCTTGGTTTAGTCAATAACCATGAGTAAGCAAACAATGGCTTGATGCAATTTGTGGGTCTAGTCTTAGGTAATACATATGTGGGACATGTGGCCCAACCACTTATTTTTTACAGTGCATCACAGTAATCTATATTTCACTGAATGGGCTCCGCATCGTCCTGGAGAGAAATATCTCATGTGGCCCCCCAGGGCTCCATCCCTGGCATAGTGTTATCCAACCTCTTCATAAACAACCTAGAGCAGTGTTGTCCAAACTTGGCCACTTTAAGATGAGTGGACTTCAACTCCCAGAATTCCCTAGCCAG